GGGGGGGGGGGGGGGGCGATGGGTGATTAATTTCGCGAAAAATGCGGCGGCGAAAAAAAAAAGATGAACGGAAAAACGCATCAACGCTCTCTCCCCTCAGCCCTGTCCACAGTGCACCAGCCGATCACATGGCGTAGGGCGGAGCGAATGAATAACTAGTGGCTTTGAATGAATACTATGACATTATAAATACTATGATACCAATTGTTTATATAGCAACGACGCAAACATTTATTTTTCAACATTAAAATCGGACAACACCGCACTCAATAATGAACAGTTCCCTCGAAATGAATTAATTCTCAAAAATATTAGCCATTATTTCTTCAGTATGTAGCAATTCACACAATGGTTTTACTTTCATGTAATATGATTAGCGAAGAATATTGTGTTTTACCAATGCCGTCACCTCGTCCGTCAACATTTCATTCGTGCGGCAAAGAGCAAGTTTCTTTTCTGGTTAGGCAAGCACTTGTTTTTCTTGCGTGTTGCGTGTCCTCTGAGCCCAGGGGTCCAAGGCCCCTTGCGCTGCCTTCTTCGCCCTTTCGGCTCTGAGCTACGCGCTGTCAATGCGCCTCCGATCACCCCGCTCGGCGCGCTGCCTAGCGGCCAATGCGGAGGGCGGCGAACGTGGGGCTTCTAGGGGCGAATTGCTCACCTGCAGGTGCTACGGGAATTCCATTTCTGTGGATTGGCGCGTTTTCCTCTTTCTTTTTGGACGTGAGGTTCTACGGTTTACGATGAGAGAAATACACTTTCTGAGGACAAAACTCAGCAAGTGCATCAGTAGGTTTGCGAAGATCTATTGCCTGCTGTTCTCTACAATCGTGTATACCAGAGAACAAATTCTAGACGGAAAATAATGAATAAAGTTTCCAATTAGTCAGATAGAGCGCACGTATTTTTTTGCAATTTTTAGAATTTAATTACTGCACCAATTTTTAAGTACAGTAGATTAATAAATACTACTGATTATGAGAAAGATTAATAACTATTGCTGATTATTTCAAAGAGGTTTTGAAGGAGCTAAATTGAGTAAGTTTTGTTGAATGCCCCTTTAAAAAAAACTAGAAAAGGAG